TGTATAAAGTGAGTAATAGGTTGGAACATTAAACATTTTAAGACAGTTTTCATATGATTTATGGTATATTTTCGCTCTTCTGGGAGTTTTCCAACCCCTCCTTTGCCGTCCCAAAATATAACAGGATAACATGTATGATCGAATTTTGATTCAATAGGATTAATTTCTTCATTATGGTATTTTCTAGTTTGATTGTTTGTTCTTTTAAAAATTGTCAAATTCTGATTTGTATTTGTTAAAGGAGGATTTTCCTGACCAACAACTGCTATTGTAGTAGCATTAGTTGAATTATTCATATACGCAACGTATGTTTGTTCCCCTCCAATTTTAGTTAAATTATTTAAAATATATTGATTTAGTGTTGGGTTTATCTCTGCACTAGTTAATAAGTGTATTAAATAATCAATTTCAACTCTGTAATATTTTGTTAAAGATGCTAATCCATATTTTGATATATCAATGTTGTTATTAAAAATTAAGTAAGCTGGACTTAAAAATTGCTTTTGAGAATCAATGGCATAAGGAACTCCGTTAAGATGTATTGTGCTGGCAGGGCCATTGGGAGAGAAAATTTGAGCATTCTGCGTAACTGGTCGTGCCAATAGATTTGCAATTCTATCATAATTAGGTTGTTTGGTTATATAGGGTGTCCAAAGGTGCGTTTAGCACAGCGCTCTATATGAGACTATTAAAGGAGATATATGCTGATTATAAATATATAATAAAAAATATGAATATATGTATATGATGAGTATGTTGTATTTTGGCGCCATGCCGGGATATAAAATGAATTTTGAGACAAGAGGCGGTTTCGCGGAAAATTTTGGCGGGATTTTTTTCATTTTTTTAATGAATCATAAAGAAAACATCCTCGCTCTTGCAAAAAAATGCAAAGACTGTAAAAAAATCTACGAGACATTGGTAAAATGCTTCGGTATGGATGCTCCTAGCTATTCCACTGTAACGTATCATGTTAGGATGTATCACTTCATGAACAAAAAGGCGCCCATCATAAAAATTGACAAAAAATCGCCGGATCAAAGAAAAATCAAAGCAATTCTTCAAGCGCTAGATGAAGACCCAAGAGCATCACTCAGAAGGATAGAGGAGATGACAAAGATACCACGTACAACAGTCAGTTATTATCTGCACAATTATTTGAACTACAAACTAGCGTATACACGTTGGGTTCCGCACAACCTTAATTCAGTTCAAAAAAAATCTAGAGTCCAATCTTCGAAAGAGCTCCTCTCTATATTGGGTGCGTATCAATCCAAGAAGTTTCGCTTTTTAGTAACAGGGGACAAGTCTTGGTTTCAATATGCAACAGAAGCCAAAATCATGTGGATCCCGAAGCATGAAAATCCGCAAACATTCCCGAAGAAAAAAATTGACACACCAATGATGATGTTGTCGGTTTTTTGGGGCGTGAATGGCATCATCGCAATTGATATTCTTCAAAAACCTAATACGATGAATGCTCAGTATCTAATTGACAATGTTCTTACTCAAATTATCAATTCTGATGAGTTTGAGAAATCCAAACAACAAAAACAAAAGTTTGCAATTCATTTTGATAATTCAAGAGTTCACAAAAGTCATAAGGTAATGAATTACTTGGTGGAAAACAATGTCAAAGTTGTTCCAAACCCAATTTATTCACCTGATATTGCACCCTCTGACTTTTATTTATTCGGCACGCTAAAAAAGAGAGCTGAAGGACGCGAATTCGCGAGTCCAGATGATCTTGAAAATTTTGTAAGAGAGCAATTTGAGCAATTTTCTCATGATGATTTAAAGCGTGTCTTTCAAGCCTGGATCGATCGCTGCGAACGCGTGATTGAATCCAATGGTGATTATATTTAAATAAACTTTATATATATGTAACTTGTTTATTTCTATTCGCAGTATTCAGGTTTGTGCTAAACACACCTTTGGACACCCTATATTATCTTGTATATTCTTAACAATTCCTTCAGGCACTGGCATAGTTATTAAATGCTTTTTAACAAATTCCTGCTTTGAACAACATGTTTCTGGAAATTGTGAATTAAATAATGCAGCACCGCATATTGGACATCTTTCATGTGGATCTAAAATACCGGGACATAGCCATTTTAAAAAAAGATTGAAATCAAAATGAAAATAATCTTTATGAGTAGTATTTAATGTGCACTGATAACAATCGGGAAAAGGGAGATTGAATGCGTTTTTAGATGAATGGAGAATGAATTGAAAGTTTCTATTATAATTAAAATCAAATATCTTCATTGGTTTAAACTCCAATTTATTTTTTATTTCAATTGATAATGATTGATCATTAAGAAGTTCGGTTTTCTTAGTTTCAGTTAAAGCTATAATTCTATGTTTAAATTGAATATCTTGAGATAATCCGGTTGAGAAAGATCCAACACAAAATAATAAAAAATTGTCAAAAATATTTGAACCCAGTTCCGATGTAATTTCAATATAAACAGAAGCTGTAACTGCATATTTCCATATGTTTTTGTTTGTAATTTGATCATAAAATTCAGCAATATTTGAATTGGTTAAAAATTTGAAACTACGGAATAATTCCCAATACTCATCATCTATTAAGAGTAAAGAGTTGACAGTCGATAATTCGGAAGAATATTTATTAAAAAAATAAATAACATCAGCTCTTAGATTTTCTGTAATCAATATATGATCAATGATTGAAGATCCAACAGGAGATGGCCTTGAATTCATGAATTAATGAAAAAGAATCTTCAAATGATCAAAAATTAATCAATAAATAAATTGAATGGAAATTGAAGGAAATTAACGGTTAGACACAAAATTTCGGAAGTTTGTTCATTGAAAATGAATTAACAGAGATAAATGTATCTGAAAAATTGTAAAGAGACTGACTTTAATAAATAAAACTTTTGAAAAAGTAAGAATCAAGAATTTTACTGATTGAAATTTATGATACAACATCTGATTATTGAGAAAGGGTATGTTAATTAAAAAAAAATTAAAATAAAATTTTTGCCTAACGATTTTATATAAAAATTTTATACAAAATATGGATTTTTTAGAAGATTTTAGAGATTGAAGTCTCAATTTATAAAATTTTTTTTAAATTAAGAGGAATTTTAATGATACTTTTTTATTTGATATTTGGATTTTTTAGAAGATTTCAGAGATGTCAGTCTCAATTTAAAAAAATTTACAAAAAATAATCGTAAAATAATCGTTTTTGTTCAAATCCTTTTCATTTCGGGAAATTGAAGTTAAATATCAAAGAACCAGTTTATGCTTATGTTAAAACAAATTATTATAAAGTGTTTTGATGACTTTTTCTAACCGCAATTTGTCACTTTTTGATGTTTCAAAATTAATGTATATTCTATATGCATATAAGATATCAATTAATATTAAAACATCAAAATCGATTTTTGAAAGAATCAAATTTATCACATCTCATCGTTGTTCCGAATTAATATTTTATTCGCAATGTATATATTATCAGAATTCTATTTATCATATTAAAATTCAAAAATAATTTTTGAGTTTCAGATCTCCCTAATTTCCCATATAAATATATGTTTATTTTATTAAAAATAGAATGTCCAATTATTGATAAAAATCGATCCGCTTTTCTACCGGTCAAGCTGTATATATATAGAACCCATCCATGTAAACCTCGATGTCATGCTTCAGTGTGTTATAACAGATCGATTTATAGTGAAATTTAATAAAATATTTATTATATTAAATTTGATATTCAGAGACGGCGCTACGCGCCTTTTAGCATTCTGGGCACGTAAGTGCCCAGAATGCAAGATTGAGAAATTTGAAACGAAGTTTCAAATTTCTGCTTTGCTGTTATGCAAAAAGAAAGTCAGTACAAAAAAATTTTTGAAATTGAGAATAAAAATAATATCGTGATTTTTTGTGATATATGGATTTTTAGAAGATTTTAGAGATTGAAGTCTCAATTTATAAAAATTTTTTAAATTAAGAGGAATTTTAATGATACTTTTTTATTTGATATTTGGATTTTTTAGAAGATTTCAGAGATGTCAGTCTCAATTTAAAAAAATTTACAAAAAATAATCGTAAAATAATCGTTTTTGTTCAAATCCTTTTCATTTCGGGAAATTGAAGTTAAATATCAAAGAACCAGTCTATGCTTATGTTAAAACAAATTATTATAAAGTGTTTTGATGACTTTTTCTAACCGCAATTTGTCACTTTTTGATGTTTTAAAATTATTATATATCCTATATGCATATAAGATATAAATTAATATTAAAACCCTAAAATCGATTTTTGAAAGAATCAAATTTATCATATCTCATCGTTGTTCCGAATTAATATTTTATTTGTTATGTATATATCATCACAATTACATTTATTATATTAAAACTCAAAAATAATTTTTGAGTTTCAGATCTCCCTAATTTTCTCGCCTGTAAAAATAATAGTTAAAGAATTACTCAACGGATAATCAATAATTAAATTTAATGATTTTGAATTTGAAGAATAATATTTGAATGCATATCTGTTTGCCTCAAAAGTTTAAAATTGAATCCAAATTTTGTATGAGGATATATAAAATGTTATGCAATATTATCTAATTTAAATATATATTAAAATTGGTTTCATAAATAAGTTTTCATTTAAATCGCAAATCACAAAATTATTACAAATAATGGTTCAACCATAACATAATGTCAATTAATTTTCATTTAAATCTATTAAATTTGTGTGATATTGTGAAAATCAGTATATTTTCAATTGCGAAAATAGAAAAATATCCCATACTCTATCATATATCACTTAATTTCTAATATGATTATATGATAATTCAAAATAACAAACCGAACAAATTATTCAACAACTTCATGTGTGATGGTTTCCAACTAAAAATTTAGACTTTATTCAACCCAATTATTTGAATAGAACCGTTTTACATTTATAATTTTTTTCTCAATTTCCTTTTGAAAAATTCTCTTTTCAAAAATTAAATAATGAAACCTCAGATACAACTCGCTCCCCTTAAACAAGTCAAATCTGCCGGAAAATACATTCTCGAAAAAGAAATCGGAACCGGTGGTTTTGCAAAGGTATTTATGGGATCCAGCGCCAAAAGTAACGAGAAATTTGCTATCAAAGTTATTAAGCGCGAACAAGCTAAAGAGCTCGATACTATGTCTTATGTTGAAAATGAACTCAGGATAATCTCCCGCTTAAACCATCCAAATATTGTTAAAGTATATGACATTATTTATACAGATGACTCAATTCTCATTGTTATGGAATATATGGCTAATGGAGATCTACAAAGATTTATAGATGACAACTATTGCTTCAATATAGAAGATCAAGTTCGCATTGCCCTTGAAATTTTGGAAGCATTGGCATATCTTCACCAACGAGGCATTAGCCATCGTGATATTAAACCCGCAAATATTATGTTTGACAAAGAGATGCATGCAAAGCTCATCGATTTCGGATTATGTCGTGAAAACACAAACATTATGAAAACAATTTGCGGCACTCAACTTTTAATGGCTCCAGAGGTCCTTTTAAACCATTCATATGATGGCATTAAAGCCGATATTTGGTCGTATGGTGTTACCCTTCATATCATGGCAACACGTCATATACCTTTTGTCATTAAGAGTGAGTCTCAGTTTGTTCATGATTGCAAATCCAACAATTTAGCAATTAACATCCGCTGCGGTGGCGTCATTGGGTGGCTTGTCCAGGCTTGCTTACAAACTAATCCCGATGAAAGATTAACAGCTGTTCAATTACTCGAGTTTATTAAATCTCAACAGACGGCGGCCGTTGCCCCAATTCCAGTTGCAAGATTAACCGTTGTAAAGCGCGCAAATACATCAGCACAAATCCAAAAAGTTAAATTACACGCAAATACTCCTGTTATAATTAGATCTCGAGTATGCAGTGAAGGAAATCTTGCAGCACGAATCAATGCCCACCATGAACTTCCAAAAATACATGAAAATTAGGAAAATTCGTTATACATTTTTTTGTTCATATATTTTTAAAAGATTTTTCTTCATGCAGTACTTAATCAACATATGTGCTTTAAATATAGGTTGTATGTAATACATTTTGAATGTTTATTGTATTGATGAATTTATTTTGATATCAAGAGTATGGTAATTTAAGAAATATTTACAATTGAGCTTGGTTGTATAATCTTGTTATTAGATTGAATTCACACTTTTTTTTGTTTCAAAGAAATTATTGAAGACAACAGGGACTTTACAATCCCAAATATAACAACTTTGTCTAAATTGTATAAGCTCACCATCAAACAGGTAATTAAAAACATTTTAAAATTAAATTTGGATTGTGAAATCTCCTTCTGATAATTGTGCTAACGAAACAAGACGTAATCCACATCAATCATACCACTTTGAAAGCTATCATGTGTTTCATAATATTCAGCAAATTCTATAAGGACTCTTCAATCAAGAAATCAATTGATTGAAAAATGATATCGAAATCAACGACTTTTCGTGAAAAAGTATTATGTGAATCTATGATTGAATACAGTTTCCATTAAGAAACAAGAATGATAAAGGTGAAGACTTCGCTAATTTTTGCATCAAGAAATGAGCCTCTTGATATTGTTATATCTTATTTTTGTTGGAGCAATTAAAGATGCGTAGGATGATGAGGGAAATACACTATTCATTTATCCATCAAAATGGCATAGATTTAAGGATACTAAAAATATTATCTCTGTCGAAGCCATTCAAGAATTACAGAATAATTGAGGAGATACTCCCCTCATTGAGGCATCATAATGAAATAATCCATAAGTTGTTCAATTTCATATCTGTGTTGGAGGTAATAGAGAAGCAATAGATATTGATGGTAATACTCCACTCATTGAAGCATCATGTGAAGGTTGTATTGAAGTTCAATATCTTATCTCTGATAGAGCTAATAACGAAGCAAAAATAATTATGGAAAAACCACACTCTCTGTTGCGCATTAAAATGCAAGAAATTCTCTGATAGAACGGAGATATCTATATAGCACTTTAAGAATTTATCTAATAAGACTTTTTTTCAATTTTTAACTTATAATGCCAATTTCTCTAATTATTAATATGAAATCTTTTTTCACTTCAAACATATAGAGTGCGTGGAAGGAATAATCTGACTTATTAGGAAAGAGTACATAGAGCAATACAAATTAGAAGCTAATTTAGATATATGACGTGATTGGAAAAATGATGACAAAGGTAGCATTACTCTAGAATATGAAGAATCCCACAGCGAATTTAGATGTAAATTCATTCAATATGTGCTTTAGAATAACTCTTATTTGTATCTAAATTCGTGTGTAAACAGAAAAATGATGCGATTGGAAAAATTTACAGATGACTTTTGGATCATAATATAATGTGAATAATTCATACGATTTTCAGAATCACCTATATTTTGACCAATTCAAAGCAAGAGACATTCAGTTATTAAACGCATTTACATATGAAGTCGCAACATGCTATTCACAAGTACCCTTAGATCTTATCAATCTTTTATTGTGCGCGAAATGTAAATAGATATACTTATCTTTGAATTGAACTGAGTATAGGCGGGAAATTTTGTAATCTTTCAACGGCAAACCCAAATTTTAGCTAAAAGTGACAGGGGAAAAAAACGTTTAGTATTAAAAAAAAAGACCGATGAGAGCTTCGTTCGAAATATAGAGGGAACTGAGAATGCGCAACCATTCTCAGGGAATATTGGATGCTATTCCCGTTCCCTCTGTATGGAAAATTGAGGTTTTCAAAGGGAGTTAAAATAATATCAAATTTATACTAATTTACTTCAAAATACAAAAGTATTTGACAGCTAAAATTAGTTACTTTAGCAAGCCTATCAATACCCTTTTACGATTATTGCTACTTTTTCGAAATAAAAGTAAAAACAAATTTATACTAATTTACTTCAAAATACAAAAGTATTTGACAGCTAAAATTAGTTACTTTAGCAAGCCTATCAATACCCTTTTACGATTATTGCTACTTTTTCGAAATAAAAGTAAAAACAAATTTATACTAATTTACTTCAAAATACAAAAGTATTTGACAGCTAAAATTAGTTACTTTAGCAAGCCTATCAATACCCTTTTACGATTATTGCTACTTTTTCGAAATAAAAGTAAAAACAAATTTATACTAATTTACTTCAAAATACAAAAGTATTTGACAGCTAAAATTAGTTACTTTAGCAAGCCTATCAATACCCTTTTACGATTATTGCTACTTTTTCGAAATAAAAGTAAAAACAAATTTATACTAATTTACTTCAAAATACAAAAGTATTTGACAGCTAAAATTAGTTACTTTAGCAAGCCTATCAATACCCTTTTACGATTATTGCTACTTTTTCGAAATAAAATAAATTTATTATCAAAAACCTTTTTTTTTCTTAGTAAAAATAAAAATGTTATTTTATATCAAGTTTTATTCATAAATTTTTATAATGTTGTATAAATTTCATTAAAATTTACGTACATATTAAGGTACTTATCTTCTACATATATAATCTTCATTAGATATATACATGATAAATAAAATTCATAAAACATTAAAATCAAAAAATTAGATGAACCTTGGCAATTAAACTTTATTAAATAATAGTTGTTTATAAATTATATTATATTATCATTTAATATTATTTTGATAATGAAGATTTTATTTTGCAATAATATAAACGAAATTTTTTACCTTATGAACTTTTGATGGAAATATGCAAATTTAAAATAATAAAGAAAGCCGCGAGCGAAGCGATCGGCTTAGTTCGAAGATTTTGCTTCAAATCTTTGCTGATCTGTAATTCGCGGAAGCCGCGAGCGAATCGAGCGGCTTAGGTCTAAGATTTTGATTCAAATCTTTGCTTATATTCCTTAAATTCTTTATGAAACTCGCAACAGTTCCATAAAAAATTTTAAATTCTAAACTGTCGAAATTACCGATCGGTAATCACACCCTTCACGGGTGTGTCACTTTTTACAAGTGTGTCACTTTTAGCTAAAATTACCCCTACTCCATGTGAAGAAAAATTTAAGATCAAATGTCCATTTTATATTATCGCATCTAACATCAGGTATACTCCTGATAGTATAATCGTATCAAATGCCGATTTTTGGATTATTGAAATTCTTATTGACTTGCATTGAAAATCGAAAATTTATACGTCATATGATCGGCTTATAAAATTTTATAATTATAAATGCAAGGCATAGATAAGCATAGTCGTGATCGAACAAATTGTGGGAATCTGGATTGTAATCAAATTCGATCGCAAATTGTGAGAGATTATCGTCATTTGAATAATTTCATTATCCTTTCAGCCATGATTGCACAAACATATGATGATAGCTTTCAAAACGACATGGATGAAAGGAAATGCAAAATATCAATGAAGGCAATAGCTAACTATCTAACCTGCTCTTTAGTAATAAACGGAGTGGTATTAATAGCTTTATCAATCTTTACACATGTATTCACACCAAGAATTGCATACATAATGTCTATAGTAGGATCAATACAACTTTCTCTTGTCGTAGTATTAGTTTGGAAAGTTCATAACAGAAAAGATCGTCAAGCTTATGAAGACTCGACTGAAGTACTCTTATAACTCCATTAGAATCAAATATTTTCTAATGCGCTTATAATATATTGTTTGTTTGTTAAATATTCTAGTATTGCAAAATTATTCTAAAATCACATTTTTTTAAGCATGAAATACATTAACTAAGAAAGACACTTTGATCTGCCCGTACTATTCACTGTTTTGCTAATGTTCGTTCCAATTTCAAAATTTCTCTAAAAAAAGATCTTTATGATTAATTTCTATAGTAATAGTATCGTGATCGCATATATAGTAAATATGCTAAAATAAATCATCAATATATGCTTTGATTCTAGTCATTATATACAATTTGGGAAAAGTAAGGTTGAAAAAGTGACAGATTACAATTCTCTTGGAAAATACTTTATTAGGAACTGAAATCAAACAGACCTTTTCAAAATAATTACAAATGATTTCCTTTCTTATATGCGAAAATATTCTTTCTGATTCAAATTCGATAATCAAAAATAACTATCCGAGCAGGATTATATATTTTGTCAGCGGAAGCTCTTCTCAATATATCAATAATTCAGTACAAAAGACAAAACCAGAATATGCTTTCAATCAGATTGAAAAGAAATACGATTGGTGTTCAAATTGTGGTGTCAATATGGAAGATCACCCATGGATAATTCTTGGAGTTCGCAATCGTATTTTGAAACTTGATGGATACTTCCTCAGAGCAGGATGCTGCACAGATGGATGCTGTTGCTATGAAGAAGGAACATACTGCTGTGATTGCTGTCTATTTTCATGGTCATTCCAAATATCATTTGACAATGTAACATGGACAACAATTCACAAGGTTGAAAAAGACTACGAAATGAGACGCTGCAAAGAAAAAACATATACATTCAGCCAAACATATAATGCTAGATATGTTAGAGTAATCCAAGATCAAGCTTGCCCAGGCGATCCACCATGCATGGCAATTAACAAGATTGAATTAATAGGATCACCTGAAAATTCAGATTCTCATGCTGAAGACTTTAACAACCAAGAAGCAGATGAGGACGACGAAGTTAGTATCATCGGACATGTTTCGAGGAATGGCAATTAATGAATTTCCATTTTCTATTTTATAATTTTTATTTTATTTATTTCTTTTTATTTGCATAAATATTGATTTTAAAATAGTTCCATAATGCCTGTCAATCAATTTCTTATGGAATTTTCTTTCATTAAGATAAAAGCCGAAATATTTCAAATGATTTTTTTAGAAAAATTAAATAGTCATTTTTTCTTTTTAAATATTTAAATAGATTGTTCATGAAATATAAGACAATGCCCGAGATAGCTAATACTATCAGATTTTTTTTTTAATTTTGAGAATCAATTACATTAATTCATATCCTTCTAAGACAAATCTTCATTCCCTAAATGAATGATAAGTCTAACCCTTAAAATCATCGTAAACGATAATCCGAAAAGAAATTTCGGAAATTTTGAATTCAATTCAATTTTTCCACCATAAACCTTCTTTATATTGTTTCAAAAACTTCTTTATATACGAATTATTTGGCTGATAAATTCAATAGTGTATTCAATTATTTCTTCAATATCCTGACCAATGATGAGGCTAAAAAAAACAAAAAGTTTCAATTCATAGACTAAATCCTGTTGAAAAGATTTTACTTCTTTGATCTTTTTACAATAAGTCTTTTTAAGGGTTGACCGACCTAAATTGAGAGGACGTAATCCTCCCGAATTTTTCATTTTCAGCCTTGGTAAAATACCCTCGAAAACTCAAAAAAATTGACTTGTGTCCATTTAAAAGGGTTCGTCGAGAGGTGTTAAATTATTGATTTTCAGGATCGTAACTCATAATTTTTTACAATCATATTAAAATTATGCGAGAAAACAAGCAAAAATATTCGTTATTTTAGTATCAAATACTACAAATCCTAGATTGCAATATATTTTAGCACGTAAAATTCCAAAATTTACCGTAATTGAATAAAATTTACAATAAACATCAATCCATTCTAGATTTTGCATATTGTTAATGATTTCCATACTATTTGTTTGCATATTGTTAATGATTTCCATACTATTTGTTTGCAGACTGTTCTATTGTTAACCGCGATTGTCTAAATCAATTTCATATAATTAAAATTTACAAATCCCATGCGATTATTATTTCTTGTCTGCAAAACACCTGTGCACCCTCTTTAAATGTAGTTGCTTCAAACTATTAAAATACCAAATTTATTTATTTTATTCCCAAGAATGAAATATATTGACTAGAATTCTCGCAGTAAGCGTTATAAATATTGAGAAATATTGTGAAATAAATGTCTTGTTTACTAATTTGTTCGATTATTTTTAATATTTTTTTCCATTATGTTGAAAAATCAAAAGAATTTTTATTATTTTTAAATTACTAGGAGTATTAATGAAAATTTTAATCTCCTATTTTTATACAAAGAATGGAAACTGGATGGTGAATCATTAAATATCTGAAATTCTCGCGCATCAGCTTCGATATTATAACTCAGTTGTTAAAATCAATGCTAGCAAATATTTAGACACCAACTAAACTTGGTTCATTTCTGATGCATATTTCTTTTTTTACTTTTTTCCAATTGAAATCGAATTTTACAAAACAGTTTTTTGATGATAATTTCTACAAAAATAGAATTAACCTTCATTTGCTAAGATAAACAATGTCAAATTTTTAAAAATTAACGAAATCCTTCGTATCTTTTCAGGAAGGTATGTCGGCGAAAAAAATTCGTATACCAAATCAAATAACATCATATGAAGATATTATTAATTGTACGTATTCCGATTTTTGAGCAACTTTAGAAATCGATTTCAAGATTTTGGCAATTTGATCATTTATTAAATTAGTACATATGTAATAAAATGATATTCAATTTTCCAAAATTGTATATAGTGCCAATAAATTTTACTGAAATAAATATAATGGGAATGATATAAAGTTTGTGACAAAATATTCATTTTTATACAAAGAAGCTATTCATTTTTAAACAACTATTTGAATATACCATCTGTATTATTAGATATTGATCAGATTTCAATATCTGAATAATTCAGCTTGAATTACTATTCTATAAAATCTGTTACACATGGATATATGGTGTTAGGAATCAATATTTTGATTATAAGATTAATACAAAAAAACTTTGGGATATTATTCTCATTTTGCAAAACACTTCAATTTGGAACGGAATAAATATATATTCAGCAATAATTAATTCTTTTTGCCGTTTGTAATTCTAGCAACATTCCAAAATGGAGGAGTTTTTTAAAAATAAAGAAAATTTTTATAGAAAAAAATTAGGGTTGTACAAACTGGCACAATTTTGCGGGCCGTCTGCCAGGAGCTGGCACGCGGCCAAAATCAAAAAAGTGGCCAAAAATCGGGCCTTGTGGCGTGGAAAGGGTGGAGCCCGAAGGGCGACATCCTTTCCACGCCACTCGGCCTATGACCACAATTATATAATATGCTCATTATTATTTTTTCTTCTTTTCTCTTCTTTTTTTTCTTTTTCCCTTTTCCCTTCCTTTTTTCCTAGTTTTGGAAAGGAAAAAGTAAAAAATTTAATAATTAATTTTATTACTATGAAAATATACTTTTTAGCTTATATTGTAAGCTGTGAGAGTTTTAAGTGATGGAAGATATAAATCAAATTTGAAATTCAACAAATCTTGTTATGATTAAGTTGAATATTGTACTCTAATTAAGAGTTTTCAGTTATGAACTCAGGTATTATATAATAAAAGTATAACTCAAGATAATAAAGAGGTTTTTAAAATGTAGATCTGAAAATCAAACTACCATGTTTGATATGATTAAGTTGAATAATGTTATTTTATTAAATGGTTCAAATCTGTGAAATCGGCAATTACAAATTAAAGGCGTAGTTCAAAAAATTAAAGAGATTTTAAAAATTTAATATCAGAATTAAACTAAAAAAGGATTTAGTTATTTCAGTAATTATCAGAAAAGGTTAAAAAGATAGGATAAGTAATGAGACTTGAGTGAGATGTGAGAAATCATATTTAAATAATTAGATATCTGGTTAGTAAGGTAGTAATGAGAGTTAAGATCTGGTTAGTAAGGTAGTAATGAGAGTTAAGATCTGGTTAGTAAGGTAGTAATGAGAGTTAAGATCTGGTTAGTAAGGTAGTAATGAGAGTTAAGATCTGGTTAGTAAGGTAGTAATGAGAGTTAAGATCTGGTTAGTAAGGTAGTAATGAGAGTTAAGATCTGGTTAGTAAGGTAGTAATGAGAGTTAAGATCTGGTTAGTAAGGTAGTAATGAGAGTTAAGATCTGGTTAGTAAGGTAGTAATGAGAGTTAAGATCTGGTTAGTAAGGTAGTAATGAGAGTTAAGATCTGGTTAGTAAGGTAGTAATGAGAGTTAAGATCTGGTTAGTAAGGTAGTAATGAGAGTTAAGATCTGGTTAGTAAGGTAGTAATGAGAGTTAAGATCTGGTTAGTAAGGTAGTAATGAGAGTTAAGATCTGGTTAGTAAGGTAGTAATGAGAGTTAAGATCTGGTTAGTAAGGTAGTAATGAGAGTTAAGATCTGGTTAGTAAGGTAGTAATGAGAGTTAAGATCTGGTTAGTAAGGTAGTAATGAGAGTTAAGATCTGGTTAGTAAGGTAGTAATGAGAGTTAAGATCTGGTTAGTAAGGTAGTAATGAGAGTTAAGATCTGGTTAGTAAGGTAGTAATGAGAGTTAAGATCTGGTTAGTAAGGTAGTAATGAGAGTTAAGATCTGGTTAGTAAGGTAGTAATGAGAGTTAAGATCTGGTTAGTAAGGTAGTAATGAGAGTTAAGATCTGGTTAGTAAGGTAGTAATGAGAGTTAAGATCTGGTTAGTAAGGTAGTAATGAGAGTTAAGATCTGGTTAGTAAGGTAGTAATGAGAGTTAAGATCTGGTTAGTAAGGTAGTAATGAGAGTTAAGATCTGGTTAGTAAGGTAGTAATGAGAGTTAAGATCTGGTTAGTAAGGTAGTAATGAGAGTTAAGATCTGGTTAGTAAGGTAGTAATGAGAGTTAAGATCTGGTTAGTAAGGTAGTAATGAGAGTTAAGATCTGGTTAGTAAGGTAGTAATGAGAGTTAAGATCTGGTTAGTAAGGTAGTAATGAGAGTTAAGATCTGGTTAGTAAGGTAGTAATGAGAGTTAAGATCTGGTTAGTAAGGTAGTAATGAGAGTTAAGATCTGGTTAGTAAGGTAGTAATGAGAGTTAAGATCTGGTTAGTAAGGTAGTAATGAGAGTTAAGATCTGGTTAGTAAGGTAGTAATGAGAGTTAAGATCTGGTTAGTAAGGTAGTAATGAGAGTTAAGATCTGGTTAGTAAGGTAGTAATGAGAGTTAAGATCTGGTTAGTAAGGTAGTAATGAGAGTTAAGATCTGGTTAGTAAGGTAGTAATGAGAGTTAAGATCTGGTTAGTAAGGTAGTAATGAGAGTTAAGATCTGGTTAGTAAGGTAGTAATGAGAGTTAAGATCTGGTTAGTAAGGTAGTAATGAGAGTTAAGATCTGGTTAGTAAGGTAGTAATGAGAGTTAAGATCTGGTTAGTAAGGTAGTAATGAGAGTTAAGATCTGGTTAGTAAGGTAGTAATGAGAGTTAAGATCTGGTTAGTAAGGTAGTAATGAGAGTTAAGATCTGGTTAGTAAGGTAGTAATGAGAGTTAAGATCTGGTTAGTAAGGTAGTAATGAGAGTTAAGATCTGGTTAGTAAGGTAGTAATGAGAGTTAAGATCTGGTTAGTAAGGTAGTAATGAGAGTTAAGATCTGGTTAGTAAGGTAGTAATGAGAGTTAAGATCTGGTTAGTAAGGTAGTAATGAGAGTTAAGATCTGGTTAGTAAGGTAGTAATGAGAGTTAAGATCTGGTTAGTAAGGTAGTAATGAGAGTTAAGATCTGGTTAGTAAGGTAGTAATGAGAGTTAAGATCTGGTTAGTAAGGTAGTAATGAGAGTTAAGATCTGGTTAGTAAGGTAGTAATGAGAGTTAAGATCTGGTTAGTAAGGTAGTAATGAGAGTTAAGATCTGGTTAGTAAGGTAGTAATGAGAGTTAAGA